CCTGAAAACATTTATAAGACTGATTCCTGATTCTCGAGATAACTTAGTAAGGGATTGCGAATTTTCCATTAGTCCAACGTGCCCTAAAACTGCAGTGAAAATAGCTTCATCGTTGACAACTTCTGTTACGCTTTTTATCGTTAACAGATCCAGTTTCTATAAATTTGTTCAATTATTTATATAGCAGGGGAGCCCACGATGCAAAATGGGGATTTACTCGAGCATCATTGAGACATATTAGGTTGCAAAGCTTAGATGATGAGAAGAAAAAAATGTTATATGATACATACCTAATGCATGTAAAAAAATACTGTTGCATGGACAATACTCGAGCGCGTCAGATATTGTTAGCATCAATGTCCTACGTATTTTTGATAATGTTGGTATGTTAATCTGATCGTTTGCATGATGTGGGTAGTTGTACGTAAGGGACTTTCTATGTTTTTTACCACTTTTATTAGTAAGTAACGTTACTGCAGTTTCGTATAGTATAAGTTTGAAAATGTCCTTATATATTGTATAAGTCTGAAAATGTCCCTATAGGACGAAACTGCAGTAACGTTAGTAACAAATAGAAGTGGTAAAAAACATAGAGAGTTTAATTTCTCTTTTCTTCATTATGATATCCCACCACGTAGTAACGGCTATATACATCAATTAATTTAATAATTAATCAACATCTTCATCTTCATCACAAACGAGTCTCTGTGATCAGCTGTGATGGCTTCATGGCAACAGAATTCAGAGTGGGGATGGAGTGAGAAAAAGTGAATAGAGAATAGAGGAATAGAAACTTGGAGAGGGAAATATACGTATCACACAGCTGCACGCATTAAACTTTATCGACGAATTTTTGTTATTTCGGCTTGCGGAAATCGTCAGATTATATATTTTTCGTTATCCTTGAATTATTTCCTTCAAAATGAAAAAAAAATTTGCTACGCTCGAGGATGTTAAAATGACGTTATTTTTTTACAACTTTGCTGCCCTCCCCTTCCTTAACGTCACTCTCAAATTGTCAGATTACTGGAATACACACTTTTTAGCAGGTAATCAACTCACCCTACCTTAATCTGACGCGCTCGAGAATTTCTGATGATCAATTTGTTTTTACTAATCTGATCCTTTATCCCTCACAGGTGGTCTTATACATGGGACTCATATTTGGTGCAGCTACTTAACCGGGTACAAGGTATCCCCCTGTATATTAATCTGCCGCGCTTCAGTAAATCCCGAAATCCCCGCTTGGGCTCCCCTATTATATACCTATTTGTGTCGTACATTTCATCCTGGATGATTATATGATTGAACATACGACAGCAGCTTCAGCACTATTTCCATTCTGGTAGTACAAACTTACTATTTCAATCCGTTCTCGAATCTTATAAACCATTGCTTCTCAAGAATTCATAAATACAGAACCTCCAATTGTAACTTCACCTGGTAGGTATCAAATTCAAACTGGACTTGGCAAAGTGGGAAGTGTTCTTCACAAAATCACAAATGAAACCTAGGTAACAGATTGTACAGAAGTTCATTCAGGTTGGCTCGTTTTCAACTCAAATAATTTTTAGTTTCCAAACTATGAGCTGCAGACCATAATGTATTCTACTTCGTTGAAATCTCTTCATCATGGAGCATCTGATAATGCAAATAAATAGATCCATTAAAAAATGGTGACTATTGCTGAGGTGTTTTTTCAGATTACCTGAAAATCACTATTTCAAAAGTTATTCAGGGTGGTTCGTTTTCAACTGAAATAATTCGAAGCTCCCGAAACGTAAGATTCAGACCATATGTTTTATACTTTGTTGAAATCTGCTCATCATAAAGCATCTAATAATGCGAAACAATATAGGGTGATCCATTCAAAAAATTGGTGACATGCTCTGGGGTGCGATAGGGAAAGTAACATCAAATGTGAATATCTCCGTGTTGTGGTTGACGTGTTTTTTATTTTTATTGCAAATTATTTTACCAAAAGTTATTCAGGGTGGCTCGTTTTGAACAGAATCACTGTATATTTATTGAAATATGTGGCGACACAAACACAAGACGTTAAAATTGACAAAACTTTTGAAATAACCTTACATTTGTGAATGACCATTTTACATTTTCCACCGTCTATATAGTCATCAAACATTCTCCCGCTATGTATATCTACTGTGAACATGAAGTTTTGGAACCTGCTTCGATATCATGTCGGTCGATAGATGGTGAAGTTAATTAATATTTGGTGGCGGAATTATAAATTACGCTGTAAGTGGCATATTGTCATAGATTGAATTTCATGCCAGATTTTGATAAAATCATAACCAGGTAACAACTAATTGGCTTTTCAGAGACTTCTGTCGAGAACAGCGAGATGAACAACGGAAAATGAGATAGAGTTTGAAATTGGTTACTTCGGAGAGTTAATAATGCTAATTTTACAATTGCGGTACGTGCACGGTATTTCGATCTGTACTTTGAAGCTGAGTTGGAACGAATTACATGAACTTTCCTACAAAAGACTAACTTTTGATAGAAAGCAGATATATACGTGGAATATAAATATTTTAGATGTTACAGCCTCAGTACCTTACATTCAAGAAAATAATCGTAGCCGTAAATTACAGAATTACTGGAATTTGTCTGTACTGAGAGTTTTGGGGTAATAATTCAACAACAATTTCAACATGGTCTTGCTGTTGGATAAACAAGAAATTTCTGTGAGAATCACCTCTGTGGCGTATTTTTCAAAAATGTCTGTCCGATATAATTCAATATCCAGCATTCTTAACCAGGATTTAATAAGTTTTTTGAATTGATGAATGTTACGACTCATTTTTAGGTAGACAAAAGTATGAGTGTGAGGGAATATAATTGAAGGACCTTTGACCCAGTCTTTTCTGCGCTGGATATGTTTTGATGTTGTGCTCTTTTTTGTAACGTGTTTCATATATATGTGAAATATTTTTTAAATCACTTTTTAGTTTATGCTGGAGAACCAGTACCTTTTATAAATAAAGATTTCTCACGGAAAATATTCCAGATTTTTCGTACAACAAATGACTTGGGTAAGTTCGATTTCTATTGATTATTAGTTATGGAATTTTTTTTGGGTAGTCTCGAGTGGTTTCAAATGATTTTTGAATAAGCCACCCTACCCTGTTATGCCATATTAAATTAGTGATTTCACTAATGCAAAGTATAACATTTTGAGATGACATAAATTCAATATATTTTTTAGTTGCTTGAATTTGTAGATCATCGATCGCAGTTTTTTCACAAGGTTTTGTATATGTTTATCCCACTTGAGGATTCTATCGATTTCGATACCTAAATAACGCACATGTTCTGCTTCTTCTATTTTCAGAATGTTGCCATTTGAGTTCACATTGCGGCAATGGAAAATTGGTTTATTTTTAATGTTACAGCTGAAAGATGAATATTTCGTTTTTTCAAAATTTATGGTAAGGCTCATATCATCATACAATTTCTTTAAATTTTCAAGATCGCCTTCTGCTATATTTTTGACTTCGTTTCATGTGTTTCGAGTATACTGAATAGTTGTATCATCTGCAAATGACGGTATGTAACCTTTTGATCGGTTTTCTGAAAAATTATCCATGTATATTGTGAAAAGTATAGGTCCGAGCACAGTCCCCTGTGGTACACCACATTCAGTTACTCTTGGCTCACTTGAAATTTCTTCAAATTTAATATTCTGAATTCTGCCTAATAAATAAGATTTCAGTAATTTTAATGTTATTTCTCTGAAGTCATAGCTCTCTAATACATCGAAAAGTTTTTTATGCTCTACGGTGTCGAAGGCTTTTGCTAGATCGAGAAAAATGCAAATTGTAGCCTTACTATTTGCTAAATTCCTATATAACCAATTTGTTGAGTCGACAATGACAATGCAGATATTTCCTCCCTAAATCCAAATTGTTTATGAGATATAATTAATTTTTTTCAAAATTTTTTTTTAACAAATTCAACTGGGGTGCTAATAAAGCTATTAAAAAAACTTCAATTTGACAAAAACTTGAAGACTATTTACTCAGGTAATTTCTCATTTGAAGTCGTCAATATCAGCAGTTTGTTATTTATGAATAATGGATTTAGGATGACCCTATTTTCGAAAGTTTTCCACATGTTTTATATAATGAGGGAGGTTTTTCTCCTGATAATTCATCCCATCCTTCTGGATTACTTCATTTTTCAAGTTATTTTCTGAATTGATGGCGGTAGCGAATCATATTTTCATCCACTGAATGTACAAACATATCTCTCAATTAACAAAATTCCGCTGATAAGTTTTTAAGCATCATAATAGGCTCATCACCCTCAATGAAAATTTTACTCTCTTATCGGTTTCAAATAAATTTCATTTATGTCGCTTAAAAGCAATTTATATCATAATTTCATTTTCGTAGGGTAACTGTGTCATATTCTTGAACATTTCAAATTGTGGACACCACAAAATTTCTAAAATTTTCATGTTTGAATTTTATATTTGAATATTAGCTTTCCATGATAGAACTTCAGTTTATGCTTCCTCTCAATAGCTATATATTTTCATGAAATGGAAATTGAAGACAAATCCCAATGTATGAATATTTTTTTCCATTTGGTTTTTCAATGAGTTTCAAACCATTGGTGTGACAATGAATTTTTTGGTTGTTGTTAAGTAATTATATATTCGAATTATTATATAATGCGTGACTCAGTGGTTCACTCTTCTCTCAATAACCCAAGAAAGTCAAGTCCTAATTGAGAATTTGGACAATTATATTTAATTTTTGTTCAGGGCAGTCATTAAATTGTTCAGCCTGCTTCCAGTGGAAACTCAATAAATAATTTCAGTTTCCATGCATAATTCATCACTATCTTTTATCTATTTTATCTACTCATAAATCATTATCTTTGTGAATTCTTCGGTAGTCTAGCATTAACAAAAATTATCGTCAACCACATTCAAATAAAGCATGAGCGTATTCGTTTCTGAAACTCACCTTCTAACCCCGAGAATGCTTCTGGGTCTATGGTGTCAATATTGTTTCCATCCAATTCCAAAGAATTCAACATCGTCAGATGGGAGAAAACTTTCGACGGAACTTGTCGCAGTTTGTTGTGAGCCAGTCCCAAGGAATCGAGGTTTTTCAGACCTGCAAATAAATAATGAAGCGTGAAATTTCATCAGCAACTTTCATTTCTTAGAGGCCGTAAATAATTTATACTGAATACTAGGGCGTTTTGCAGAGTTACTCTCATAAATTTAATTTCTTGACTCCATGTCAGTGAATATTCTAAAATACAGTGAAACTATGCAAAACTGATGTTAATGATGTAGACATTTTTTGAAATAATTGATGATCCTTTTCCTAAATTACACCGGAAACGATTTGGTCTTTACAAACTTTATTTTCAAAATTTCAATTTTTCGCTAGCACAGTAGCTCACTAGTGAGTAATATATTAAAAACTATTTGAATTGAAGGGGTTATATTTTTAGGGATGATTAATTTTTGAGAAAGAAAGTTNTGTCTTCTGGAAGTTAAAGATGGTTCTCCAGCTAAGCACTGTAGACTGGTTATCGGGCTGGTACAAAAAGCTCCCAAAGCTATCCTTAGTGCATTGTTCTGTATCACGTCTAGATTTCTGAGCACTGTATTTTTAGCTGAGTTATAAACGATGGCACCGTAATCCAACCTGGACCGAATGAGGGTTTTGTAAATATTAAGTAATATTGTGGTGTCCGCTCCCCAATCTTTGGATGCAATTGTCTTCATGAGGTCGAGGCTTCTCTGACAGGATTTCTTCAGGTACATGATGTGAGATTTCCAGTTGAGTTTATTGTCGAATATCATGCCTAAAAACTTCATGTTGTCAACATATTCGATAGGGCTGTTGTGGAGAATAAAATCTTTTGGATTGTCCTGTTTTGTTTTTGAGAAAATCATGCATTTAGTTTTGCTGTGAGAGAGTTGTAGACCGGTTTCGAGTGACCATTGCTCCAAATTCCTCAAAGCTGTCTGAAGACCTGTGTTCATGGTTGTTTGGATTCGGCCTTTCGTATATATGACTAGGTCATCTGCGTATAGTCTTGCCTTGATTGTGGATGTTAAAATATTATTTTGATTATTTTGACTATTACATAAGGACACATTGTAAAATTAATTCAAGAATAGTAGATAAGGCAATATTGTGAAATTAATTTAAGACACTTAAGATTCAGGTACCTAGAAAAGGTATCTGTGGTATACATAAGGATAACATTGTTAGTATGTTTAGTTTGATTTTTCTCTTGAAGTTCATCATTTGGTGATCAAAACACGTGTCTAGGTGTTAAAATAACGGTTTGATGTTAAAAAAAATCTGGTAATATTCATTTACCTATTTGTTTATTCAATATCCACCTGCAGATAATTAATAGAAGATATAAAGCTTCAAATCCTTTTTGTAGAATTCAATATTGAAATACTCAAAATGAAGGAAAATTAGTTGCATCAATCAAAAAACGAAGGACGATCGTAACACTGATGCTCTGCTATTCTCGGTTTGCTGGTTTCTCTTCGCTGTCTGTTTCTCTTATGATCGGCAATGCAGACTCCCAATAGCCTCTTAGTTTCACCGATATCTGATTTGTCGCACTCACAGGTATTCGGTAAATGCAATTCTTGAAATCGCAGTTCGCGTTTGGTGGCCTGGATTCGTGAGGCTGTTACGGATATTGTTTCCGGATCTGAGGCAGGTTCTGATGTTGTACTGGGACATACTTCTCCTTTTCCTTTTCGACAATCCCCTAACGTAGGAAAGGACAAGCACTAGTTGTGACGGATTCTCTTGCTTGTGTGGTAGAGTATCATTGCTTTTCACAGTAATAAAATATACTGTGCAATTTTCACAAATTCAACACGCGACAAGTGTTTCATCTTTCTCAACCAAAAATGTTATGAAACCTCTTGACCCTTGTAATGGAAATCTTGAAGTGATTTGTATCAATTATTATCAATATGGATTTTCATCAAGTATCGAACAGTTTTGTTCAGATGGTGAATTCTAGATGAATATTCCCCTAGTAATCATTTTCTAACCTTCTAATTGTTCTTTGATATTCTAAAACTCCAATGTTTAGTTCTCCGACTTTCGAAAGTTTCTTTTGTTGGTGAATGTACATATCTTTCCTCCGCTTTGTCTTGAAGTGGAATATTATTCAGAAAGTTCATGAAAGTGGATGAAACTTTCCAAGAAAATATTACTCACTTATTAATTTTATGCACTGAAAGTGAACCATCTGCATTCCAGAGAAAACTTCCAACTCAAACAAAACTCAGAATTCCGACTCAATATTATCACCGGGTGTAACAAACGTTTGGGTTTCATTTACTACGAAACAGTTTTTGAAAATTATCAACATATAAAAGGAAATCTGATGAGTAGGTAATGAAATTTTTTGCATCACTCGAAAAACACACGCGTCGAGTCATTTTTTCAGCATGATGTCAAACTCAATATGCAGTAATTTTTTTCTGAGCAGACATCTTATTTGAGGGCACGAGGGAAAACATTTCACGGAACTACCAATCAACTGGGGAAAGATTAAGTGAATCTACTTCGGCGGTAATCAATCTGATGGAGGCATGTTTTTCGGGCAGAAATCAAAGAGCCATTAGAATAGCTTATAAAAAATTCATCCAGAAAACTGATAGCGAGATGAGTTTTGATCGTTCATTAACAATTCAAAATGTACGAATGAAATCGGAGATAGAATGTTACATGAAGGTAGGTGGTACATGAAGTAGCTTACCAGCTACTCGATAATCCCTCTGATATTCATGATCATGCGAAAAACAGTAGTGATATTCCCAGCCTAGTAATCAAAAACTTCACTATTGAAGATGTTTATCATAGCCTGAAAGAATCGAAGCCTAAATTTACTGCGGGACCTCATCATATTTCAGCATTCATCGCTAAAGATTGTGCCTCAGCTCTGGTTGAACCACTAACAGCTCTAATTAATATATGCCTGAAAATATCAACTGTACCATCAATATGAAAAATGTCAGAAAAGGGGATAAAAGTGAGATAAAAAATCACAGACTAATTTCTATCATATGGAACTGTTGTGAAGTGTTTGAGATGTTTCTTGAGAAGATAATCTACTGACATGTTAGCAACATTATCGGCCCCAATCGACAAGCTTTCATGAAAGGAAGTGCAACCATCACCAATCTTGTAACAAACACTCAAAGTATTGTGGATGTTACTGATTGTTTGTCTCAGACTGATGTCATCTACACTGATTTTCCTAAAGTGTTCGACTTGACCACAGTACCCTGCTCAACAAGTTTTTGACTTTTGGGTTATCCAATGACTCAATTACTCTCTTCAAATCATATGTTTACAACCGTAAAAAGTATATCCAACTCAATGGTCTCACGTCTATCGAATATGAAGCGACATCTGGTCCACCACAAGGGTGGGTAGGGGTAGGTCCCCTACCCACCCTTATTACAATTATTACAATTATTTTTGTTTATTACCATTATTTGTTACCATTATTACCATTATTTTTATTTATTACCATTCATTCAAAGTAGAACTCATGTGAATGATATCTGATTCTTATTCCACAAAGAATGTTCAAAATACAAACTGAGTAGAGAAAAGTATCTTTTATATAATTCAGTGTTCATATAGAAGTATTCGTTTCGAAAGAGTTTTTTTTCTTTCGTGTAATTCAATGTATATATGAAAGTAGCTGTTTCAGGAGGACTTTCTTTCAGTTTGTGTCTGAAAGTTACTTCTTTGCATGATCTACACATCCATGTATAGAGTTACTTATTCTGAAATTGATTACTTCCTTCCTTTCTTTGGAAGATTCCCTCATCTTTTTTTTTGTATCAAGATGGTGGAATATAATCTTCCAAAAGTTTCGATGAATATCCTTGTTCTGAGAAACATAATTGTTTCATCACGCAAAAGGTGGCTGTGACAAGACTTCTGCGCTCTTTAGAAATGAAAAAAACTTTTGTACATTCACTCGAAGAAATTCCGAATTTGGATCAAATTGCTGCGGAATTTGAAAAAGAAAAGTGCCCGGTTCAATCATCATTTGGAAATAGAGGGCCAACCTTCTTCTCAATCTATAATGTTACAATATATGAGGATTGTATGGACCGTCTTTGCTATGAACAGTTCAACAAGTTAACATTTGAAAAAACCTGTACAGTTATCAAATCTTCCAGCATCGAGTGCAGCAGCTCACCAACATTTTATTTATTTCAAAAACTACACCTCCCGATTTGATCTCCACAAACATTGTTTGTGGAGTTCAAATTGCTTAACACAATATTCTATAATTGCAAAAATGGTTGTGGATGTGGATGCAGGAAAGCAAGGTGGCAGTGCTTTTTAGCTTGTGGTTAGTGTAATGGGGAAGCTTGTCTTGATGCTTCATCTCAGAGTGATATCAATGAAGACGGTAGGTACTTTTGATCCCGAAATCCTGGAAGAATTGGGGACAAATGTCGATGAAGACGAGAACACAGATGAAATCAGTGTTTTTTCAGACTGAAAGAAGATTCTAAAGAAGAAGAAAATTGAAATCAGAAAATCCAATGTTTTTAATTTCAACGATCATAAATGTATGAAATAAATGCCATTTTTCAATAAATACATTAATTGAAAATTAAATTATTTCCTTTCAATTTAGTTAGGAAATAATCAGTACATGTTAGTATAGAAATTGAAATTGAAGAATAATTGAACTATTTCTCTTGATAACTTTATAATTACACGAGTACGTAAGTGTTATTAAATCAATAGATACTGAATTATTGAAAAACATTATCGATCATAACGTGATAGTTATTATTGAATGCAGATTATTGTGGATTACATATTTTTCAATAATTTATAAACTTTATACGGCGTGTTTTCAATCGGGACTACAGGTTGACCTAGAATGATATTTTGAATAGTTGAATACTGTGCACGCTCTGTTCTCCATCTCGCAAAAACGGTTCAAGATATGAAAAAAATGTTCGAACAAAAGTTGTAGAGAATTCAATCCTCTACAATATTTTCAGTGAATACAAACAGCATAAAATCCATAGAAAACGAGATATTTGCAATAAATTTTCAAAAATCAATTTTTTGACCTTTGATCTTGGAGTATCTGTAGTGGCGGACACCCTACGATGAGTAAGTGTCTATGTTTTTTACCACTTTTATAAAAGTGCTATACAAATTTTCATTTCTCTTTCATTATGATCTCCTACCACATAGTAACGGCTACATTCATTAATTTATTGGTATAATAATGATAATAATAATAACTTTATTCATAACGTATACAGATTAGAATACAATTAAAACAAAATATGTGAACGAAGTGGTTTGGCGATAAGAGCAGAGCTCTTGTTTCGCAAAAAGTTATAAAGAATATGTAAGTACATAAATATTTGTATAAATAATGGCCTTCAGAGAGTAGAAACTACAAAACATTTTATTGAATTTTGTGAATTTGGTGTTATAGTTGAGCGGATTATATTTCAGCTTGAGGTAAAATAGGCCGATTTAATAGTAGACAAACAAAAAGTAAGGAAAATAGATAAAACCTTAGACAAATATTACATGTTTTATAAGAATAAAATATTAATGTACAAATAGATTAAATCTTAAGCAATATGAATAAAATTATGCTACTTACAATACAATATGATACAACTTTGGGATAAATTTGACTGAGACTATCTTATTTCCCTCTAACAGATTTAAAAAAAATTGTCTATCTTTTACGAGAATGTGTTTTTTGAATATTGGTTTGGAATAAGAAATTTTCATTTTGTGAGGTACGGTGTTATATAATTTAGTTGCCATGAAAGAATATGCTCTTTGTGAAATTAACTTTTTAACAGTAGGATAGGTTAGTTGGTCGCGATGTCGTGTGTTATAGTCGTGGTTACATAATACATACATAACTACACGCTCTTTATATAGGAGATCTGACGAGAAACGTGAATTTCTAGACATGATCAACTTCATGAATCTCCTTTGTGATACCTCTTACGGATTGAGGTGTATACAAGTTAATAGCTGACTATCTCTTATCCCGAGGTGAAACCCCTAATATTCCTGGTGTATAAACCATAAATCGCAGATAAAAATCTTCTTTGACTGAAAATTTTTGAAATCCAGCAGCGGAACGTAAACGTGAAGAATGGAATACCGTTTCACTGTTAAAAAAGACCCACGTTGGGCGCCAGGTAGTGAACTTCGTTGTAATACGCAGGGAGGCTTGCTTACGTTTATTTTTGCCAGAAAAATCAATTTCAGACTACTGAAAAAAAACACTTTATCATACCTGGTGATGATTTGAACAAATAAATGAACGAATGAATGAAAGTGAAATGTCGCCTGATGGGTATTTTTTGTCTGCCTGTCAGCATCTTCCTTTATCTGCAGCTATCCAACGACTCGAAGGGTTTGATCAGATGATAATGAATTGAAGTTTCCAATTATGCCAGATATACTTAATACAGGCAAATCAATTTAGGGTATGGAGGCACTTGTTACATCTTTTCATAACTATGTAACTTCATGAAACTTATTTCAAAAAAAAAGTATTACATGTTAATCTCACATTTATTGCTTCGATCCCTCGTTATTCACATTTCTTGATGAAACGGGTGTCGGAAAAGACTACTCAAATACTCAAATATCAAGGGTGGAATTGAACCTTGGCCTAGAATGAAATCAAAGCGAGCACTTTTTCCAAATACCAGAACTGCCACACAATTCCACATATGAGTTTCACCAACCGAGTTAGCGTTTTCAGGAGATGAAGTATGACATGAAGTAGACTCTTGATTATGGCATTTTTGAACAACTCAAATGATATTTCCCACACGCCAAGAGTTTTTCGTGTAAATTATTGGCTTTCAAAATATAATGCAGATGTGTGAATGATTCGTGATACAAAATTTTCAACATGTTTAAATAGGATAAAGAAATACGCATAAATACTTTTTGTGAACAGAATTTATCAAAGCATATCTACCTTCAAAATCTCCTTCTCGTATTTCACTTATCCTATTTTCCTGCATTTCCAGCTTTTTCAGAGTGTCGAGTAGAGCCAGAGATTTCTGTGGTACCGATGTTAATCCATTTCCACCTAGGTTCAGCCTCTTCAGCTTTCTGTAAAATAAGAAGAATGAATATTTATAAACGTGCAATGAATTTCCTTAAATAATGGGATTTGTTCTTTAAGATTCTCAGTTTATGTGATTTTCAGGTTTCTTCGGAATTAATATTTAATGAGGATTCCGCATAACCCAGTTTTGAAGCTAAAGTGGTGGAAACAAATTCTCGTGTATATCAACTGATTGAACAAAAGTATTTTGTTAATTGTACAACCCCAGTCATCTCAATTGAAATTATATATAAATATTGAAGATATTTGTTAATTTTTTGGTTGGTGTCCTATGTATGGAAAGCAGTCCATCGCTGTGTTGTTTTTTCTGTTGAAGTAGTATGATCCTTGTTCTGTATTTTTTGTTTGATTCTATTTTCCAATTTATCTATTGTCTTTTGGGTGTATCCGTTCTCGTTTGCTATTTGGTATATGATTTTCTCTATGCTGAGAATCAGTTTTTGATTTATTTTGTTAATTTCCTTTGTTATTTCTTTGTTTTGTGATATGTACGTCAACGTATCTGAACCATTCTCCTTCTTCATCGTGTATTTTTATTATTGTTGATATTTTCTCACCTATTGTTCGCAGGTATATTTCGAATGTAATGTTAGATAGTGGAGATCCCATCGCTAATCCATCTACATTATACATTTTTCCTTCAGATTCGAAATAATTTTGGTTGAGTATTGTATTGAGGGTGGATTCCATCTGGTTATTGTAGGTCTTTTTTATGTTTTGGTGGACCTACATTAACCATTAACGATGGCAAAATTACATGAACTGGAACTGAGAAGCGAGACCGAAACCAGTGACGATACTTGGGGTTGAGGTAGATTAGGACTCCGTTGTCAAATCATGTAGGTTAGTTTAGGTTAGGTCTGAAGTGAGTGGGACTATTCGACCCTCCACCGCCACTCGTAAGGGTTTATTGTGGCTCACACCTATTCACACTCGGCCAAATGAACCCAGCCAAAGATCTGATTCAGTTCCCAGCGGGGCTAGCATAAAGTATATGCTCTGCTGTTTCATTATTTTCTAAACAGAGACGAGACACACTGTCTTCCGACAGTACAAGTCTCTGCATATGATGATTTAAATGACAGTGACCTGTAAGAAGGCTTGTTAGACATCGTAGTTCATCCCTACTGTAGTCCAACAACTGTTTGGTATCAAGCTTCGAAGGGTGGATGAACGCCTTGGAGTGAGCCAATCCTGGAAGGTTCTGCCTGAAGTCGGTAAATCTTCTTGCCATCCAGGTGTTCAATGTTTATTTGGCAAAGCCCAAACCAATGCCAGTGGCAGGTTCTGGTCCGATGAAGCCGCTTGCACTACCTTTGCAAGAAAATCAGCAGCGTCATTACCTTCCAGGGCAGTATGGCCAGGAATCCAGACCAGAGACAATCTGTTGAGTCTCCCTATGGAGTAGAGTCGTTTTTGGGAGTTGGCTGCCAATTTAGACGTTGCTCGGTAGGAGCCAAGACCTTCCAATGCCGCTTGACTGTCCGAGAGTATTTTTATTGACCTGTGTGTGAAGTTGGATTTATCCAATCTCTCCGCACACAATTCAATAGCATGAATTTCTGCTTGAAATACCTAGGCAGGTAGATATCTCTGTCCTGGGTCTGCGACTGAAAACACCTGCACCAGAACCTAAAGGTGTTTTGATCCATCTGTAAACCAACAACTATCTGCTCTTAATATTTCCTTCTCCCGGAGAATCCAGTCCTCTCTACTCGGGAATAGTACTTTATAAAGCCGTTCGTAGTTGACAGTTGGAGGCATAAAGTCAGAGGTCATTTCCAGAATGCTGTGACTTCTAGTGTCAACCAACAGTCTGTTGCACTCTGCATTTAATTGATTTGTGCAATTGGCAATGCGCACAAGTCTGTATGCATCCATCTATGCATCCATCTAGCCTCTCTCTTCATAAAAATGTGGAGAGGAGGTAGATCTTGAAGGATCCTCATGGCCGCTGACGGTGTGATATTGATGGCACCACTAATAGCCAGACAAGCCTGTCTCTGTAAGCCAGAGAGCTTCGCTCGAGCCGTTTTCTGTAAATCCTTCGGCCACCAAGCAACTGCACCATAAGTGATCATTGGTCTGACAATCATCACATGAATACAATGGATTTGTTTGGGACCTAAACCCCAAATTTTACCACAAATCTTTTGATATCTCCATAGAGACAGGTTGGCTTTGTGTAAAACTTTTTTCCAATGAGCGTTCCAGGTGAGTCTTTTATCAAGGACAATGCCAAGATATTTCACCTTCGTTCCAAATGGAATGACCTCACCATTGAGGGAAATTGGCGTTAGATCGTCCAATTTTCTCCTCTTGGTGAAGGGGATTAACACAGTTTTGCTGGGGTTGACAGACATCTGTTCCCCCAGGCAACAACTGTGAACAACGTCCAACGTGCTTTGGAGGATATTACCAGCTACCCGACGTGGACCTTGCCAGGATGACAAGGTCATCTGCATAAGCTTGCAAGGGCATCAAGCAGAGTATTCATCAGGAGTGACCACAGAAGGAGAGATAGTACCTCACCTTGAGGGCAGCCTGAACCCGAGGGCCTCGCCTTGAAGAGTCGTAGTTGCAGTTCTGTTAACTAGCATAGCATAGATCCAGCCAGTATTCGTCAGTTTTGAAGTGGGAAACATGAAGGTTTTAGTTAGTGACAAATATTTTAAAAACCAAATTCTTTGCGGGCGAAGCCGCAGGCAACAGCTAATGAGTCATATTTTCACTCTGAAAATACAGTAACTAAAAAATATGCCAATTGCACTCAGTAATGAATAGCTTCGAGAATAAAATTATTTTACCTTTAAAGAAATTTCGCAAAACTAACACAACCGTCTGCATTCACTTGACTGTCCGCGTTCGGGTCGCGTTCTTGGCGATGGCGCTTCATTGCTTAGTTAATCTTATCGTGATAACTTTTAAGATTCGTCCAAATTACGTAGTGTAAAAGACGAAGTTTATCTATATTAAATATTTACAACGACAATAGTATCAATTTTTATAAGAATTTAACAGATATTCTAAAATAAGCATTGTTAAAAAAGTATCCAATTTAATTGTATTTTTGGCTCAGTGTTTTGCATGTAGTAGCTACCACATAAGAGGTTTATTATATGCTATCGCGAACTTTAGTTTAGAAAACTATTCAAGATAAACAATCTTACGATATATTATCTTCATGTAATTCCATCATTATAGGCAACGCACGTCAAGATAGCTCTCTTAATACTTACCGTTATATCATCACAAAATCACACAAAACCTTCGTGAATCGCTATATGTTATTCTAATGTATAAGCTGTATTTTTGTTGAAGTTTTATCTGAATCCATTCAGTCCATCCACGAATATACATAGGTACATATATATTTATCCATCTCCACAAACTTTCACATTTATAATATTAGTATAGATACATATTAAGTAGCAATCCTGTGAATTCTATCTGATTCAATTTCAAAACGAATGTTTGGAGTACACCCTGAATAGGAAAAAGTGAGTTTTAAATAATTCAATGATCATATGGAAGTAGTTGTTTCGAAAGGGCTTTCTTCCAGTTTGTGCCTTAAAGTTACTACTTCACATAATTTACAGATCTTTGTGAAGACTTTGCTATGGAATTGATTGCTTTCTTTTTGTCTATGATAGATTTCTACATTGTATTGTATAAAAATGAAATGATCTCATTCAAGTCGAAATTACAATAATGGTTTGTTTGAAGGTGATTGACAAGAATCGCAGTCCGCGTTTGGTGGCCTGGTTTTCGTGAGGCTGCTACGGATAGTGTTACCGGATCTGAAGCAGGTTCTGATGTTGTACTTGGAACCAATTCTCCTTATCCTCTCCGATAATCCTCTGATGTAGGTAAGTGTAAGCACTGGTTGTGACGGCTTCTCTTCCTTGCGAGGCTCCTGCTGTCTTCTAGCCATCGCTTCTACCATCGCTTTGGAGTAGCCATTCCGTTGGAGATCATTTTTGATGATGTCTAGTTTCTTCTCGAGACCTTCATTCGTATTACAGAGCATAAAAGAACGGTCTAATAGAGTCTTGATGATTCCTCTTTCAGTCGATTGATGGTGGTTGGATTCGTGGTACAGTTACTGACCCGTATGAGTGGGTTTTCGGTATCCCACATAGTATCGGTCCTCTTCACCAAAACGTCTAAGAATGGCAATTCGTTGTGGATTTCCTTCTCCATTGTGAAATTGATGTGTTTCAGGAAGGCGTCTAGTTCAGTATTCCCATGGTTCCATGGTAGATTCGTTTTCTCTTTCAGGTTCCCGTCTTCGGAGAGCTTTCTCTGTATGATTTGGAGTGCTTCTTCTTCTACTTCAGTGAAATCCACCAGTTCCCTTATGGATCAGACCGAGGCAGAGGAGTTCAGATGGAAAATTAGAGAACAGCTTGATCCAGAACCAGTTCCAACATCTAACATCAGCAATGAAGAACGTAGAGCTCTGAACGGCCTACGTAGAGACAACACCATCAAAATCTTACCTGCAGATAAGGGAAACGCTACTGTTGTGATGGACACTGATCTCTACGAGAAGAAGATCGAAGAGGTGCTTCAGAATACACGAAAATCGTAAGGAACTCCAATGTATCAATTGAAAGGAAGTTGTACTAGACTTTGAAAAAATACCAAGTCTATTTTTCGGACAAGGAAAGATCATCGCGAACATCGCACCACAGTAAGCCCCCTCACTTGTATACCCTAAATCCACAAGAAGGATGTTCCGCTTAGACCGATCATCAGCTCCAGAGATTCGGCTACTCAAAACTTGTCTAGATTCTTTCTTTCCTCAATACAACCATTACAAGGAAAAACATCGTCTTTTGTGAAGAATTCAAGGCATTTTGTTGAACTACTAGGGTCAATTGAGGTCACACAAGAAGATCAACTAATTAGTTTCGACGTGGAAAGCCTTTACACCAATGTTCCGGTCGAAGAAGCACTCCAAATCATGAGAGAAAGCTATCCGAAGACGGGAACCTGAAAGAGAGAACGAATCTACCTATAGAAGTAATCATGGAATTACTAGGATGCTGTGTACGAAACTGTTATTTCCAACTGAAGGACGAATTCTTTACACAAGATGGGATCGCCAATGGGATCGCCATTTCCACCAGTCATAGCCAACATATATATGGAGTGTTTTGAAACTCTGGCCATTGAAGAAGCCTACAAGAAACCTCGAGTCTAGTTGAGATATGTTGACGACACCTTCATGGGAATACTGAACTAGACGCCTTCTTGAAACACATCAACAGCGTGAGACCTTCCATCAATTTCACAATGGAGAAGAAAATGCACAACGAATTGCCATTCTTAGACGTTTTGGTGGAGAAGACCGACACTAAGCGGGATACATCTGTATACCGAAAACCCACTCATACGGGACAGTATCTGAACCACGAATCCAACCACCATCATTCGACTGAAAGAGGAATCATCACGACTCTATTAGACCGTGCTTTCGGGCTCTGTAATACGAAGGAAGGTCTCGAGAAGGAACTAGACATTATCAAAAATAACCTTCTACGGAATGGCTACTCCAAAGCGATGGTAGAAAAGACTTTGGCTAGAAGACAGCAGGAGCCTCGTAAGGAAAAAAAGCCGTCACAACCAATGCTTGCACTTCCCTACATCAGAGGATTATCGGAGAGGATGAGAAGAATTGGTTCCAAGTACAACATCAGAACCTGCTTCAGATCCGGTAACACTATCCGTAGCAGCCCCACGAAAACCAGGCCACCAAACGCGGACTGCGATTCCAAGAATTGCATTTACCGGATACCCAGTGAGTGCGGAAAATCCTATATTGGTGAAACTAAGAGGCCATTGAATGTTCGCATTGCCGAGCACAAGAAACACACACAGCGAGGGGAAACCAGCAGATCAGTAATAGCAGACCACATCGAGTGGTCCCAAGCTGAGATCTTGCACAGAGAGGAACATTGGTTTAGGAGAAAATTCAAAGAAGCCGCTTACATGTTGTCCAACAACGTATTCAGCCAAGCCAGCGTAGAAATAGGCAACATATAGAAACCCATCATCAAGCGAAAAATGGCCCGCCCGCCAAAACGGTCATCTCCCACGGAACCAGTGAAGCGGAGAATGGAAAGCGGGGATGAGTGAAAGTACTCGAACGACCTATAAATAGTCATCTGTCGGAGGAATCAGTCCAGTCATCACCCGAAGACGATTGTAGATACTAACAATCGAAACGTCGTGAACTAACGTGACTTGGAATCTCTCCACTTTTCATTTCTATTTTCTTTCTTCATTTCTTTATTTTCATTTATTCAATTGTTCTATTTTTACTTGTATTTTATTTCACTATTATTTCATTTCAGGTTTATTTTGGTTAATATAATTGTTATTTTCAGCTATTTTTAATTCTTCTTTTTTAGTTGTTTCAGGAATTTCAAATCATTTTATATAGTAGATAATGGAAGTTCGAACTAGTGAAATTCACAATAATGGTTGTTAGAGAAAGTATAGGTCAGAGTCCACTGCAAATACTATGTTTTGCCCAGAGAAATTGTAACTACTCACTTTTCTAGACCTACAAATGCCTCCGGATCGATGTTATTAATCTTGTTCTCATAAAGAGTTAGAATCTCGAGTGTGTCTAGTCCTTGAAATGCTTTAGCATGCAAGCTGCTGATCTTATTGTGGTTCATGTTGAGGATGAGGAGATGGTGTAAATTCTTGAAGGCCGATGAAGGAACTTGGGTCAGACTATTTTGCGAGACGTCTAGTTGGGTCAACATTTTACCTGAAAAAAAATCCCGTGGAAGTCATTTTTTAAACATCAGTGGGTATTATATAATTTAAAGACAATCTAAAGTAAAAAGAAATATGTGGTCAGACATATACCCTAGACATTATTTGATATTGGGAGTGCGATTCGCTATCATGGTGTCACTACATAATTATTTCCTAAATTGAGCATCACTTCTACAGATAGTTTCTGTAGTTTCTATGAAAACATATAGGTACATGATGCGGAAAATAGTTACCCTGTTGAATAAATAACATTGTTATTTGTTTATGAAATTTTTACATTTCTTGCTGTATGTAACTGATATTGTATAGTAGACAGTTTGCAAAAAATAAGCATTCATACGATATATGAACGAATACTAGCTTCATTTTTATAACAAGTAAGTAATTAATTAACGTACAACTCCAGTTAGGGGGAAAATGAGTTATCTTCATTCTCCTCAATAAGTATATTCAATTTTAATCAATTTTTTTGCGATATTGATTACAACTCCTTTGGATCAAGAATTCTGAAATTCTACTACTGACAAAATAAATCCATTACTTATCAGCTATTTTATCATGAATGTGATGAAACTAGTTGATGTTTGATAAAAATCTGGAAAGTTTCAAAAACTAAACTAATCGAAGTTCAATTACCGTCAAAATAGCCATGATTGATAACTGTAAGATACTGAAAGTATTTTACAGTTATTGTAAGTAAAAAGAATTCATTTATTAAGGTTTTCCACCTTCAAGGGAAAATAGCAAAATTGCTTCATTTTTCCAATATAAACATTGGATTACTCATTTGTTATATTTGCTATAGCTTTGTTCTCATGATTTACACAGTATTGTATTCGTGTAAAAGCTATTTTTCGTTTTTTATTACCGTGGTCTGCAGGTTTTCATGTCTGACGTTTCGTATACTACTGCGGTATACATTATAAAAAGAGAAATTATCTCCAGTCCTGGTGTTCAGACCATGGATTTCAGATCGTGAATATTCACGGTTATTGAGATTGTAGATACAAGTTTCCAGAACAAATAAACAGTCAAAGACCCTCAAAGAGGGTCCTAAAACTGTCAGTACTTGTTGGATTGTTTTTATAATACGTTCTTGGCCAATAAACACATCATCTAAGTTGGCGTATTGACCCTAAAACAAACTTCATATCTTAGCCAAGAGTCGACTTGTCCGCAATATACTGACCAGCGAAGTGTCGTCGGCGTAAAATGTTAAGATTACATTATACATAAACCCTCTCATATCACCCATATAGATAAGGAAGAGTATTGGCACACCCACTGTGGCACACCCACAGATACGAGGCCATTTTAGCATGTTTAGTTTATTGGTGAGAGGCATAAAAGTGATTTCCGGCGATTTTTTGTTATAAAAAATTGTTGCATTCAATTTTGTACGAAAAATACTTGAAATTTTGGTAGTGGCATACGGTGATTGTACTCTGAGTCAGAAAAATTTTTGCAGGTGGCGTAAGCTTTTCGCTTACACCGAGAAGATATGCATGATGACGCTCACCCTGGATGCTCCAGCACATTTACAACCGAAGAAAATGTTGGGAAAGCGAAGAAAATTTTAAAGCAGCCTCGTCGAATCACTATTAGAGAAACTGCAGAGGATGTCGGCATATCGGTTGGCTGATGCCATGCAATTTTTTCGTTTATTTGGGGTATGAAGCGTGTGGCAGGGAAGGTTGTTGCAAAATTGATGAATTTTGGGCAAAAAAACCCTTGCACGGGCACCGCTCTGAAAATGGTGACAGACATCAACGGCGATGCAGATTTGCTTGAAAGGGTCATTACTGGTGACGAATTATGGGCATATGGTTATGACATCGAAGCCAATGTCCAATGGGGAATGTTCCTGCTCAATTTGGGTTATTACAGCAAATGCAAGTTTGAACAAAATAAAGTTGAGTTTAATTCATGAGTTTTCAAATTCACTTCGAAAAGTATTCAAATTGATGTTTCAAATGTAGGGTTTTAATTTTCAAATGGATTTGTTTTTAATTCACATATTGGCAACAGCGCCTAGAATGCTACATCGGAGTTCAGTTTATCTAGATATTCTACTTTAAAAAAAGGAAAATTATCTTTATAAATTAACAATTAAGGCAACATATAAATTATAGTTCAATACCACCTTCATAATCCACATGAACAGTTGTTATGTTATTCATTTATTTATGTAGAGGAAGATAGGTTAGGTGCACAAAATGTCATATGTCACAGAATGTCTCGGAACTCGGAACATAAGTAAACAGAACAGCACGCCTCTGAAATATGTCATCTTTGTTTGTCTCATACAGGTAACAGATTCAGTGTTCTTTATTAGCTGTAAACGATGTTGCCAAATGGTGAAATAGAAACGAATCCCTCTAACTGTTGAATGCCTTATTTCATTCCTCTTTTGTAAGTATTTAAATACTCTTTTAAAGATAAAGGTTGAAATGATAAGTTCAAAATGCGTTGTTTTAGATCTCTTTTATGAAAACTACTTGATTTTCATCAGAAGGAACATTCCCCATGGGGATGATAGAAATTTTTTTCAGAAAATTTGTGTAATTCGCTGAATGACCAAGTAGAAATTAATGACTTCCCGTTGCTAAATATTTTTTCAAATGTAAACTAGTACATAAGTTCTGGTCATTTAATTCATTGAAAGCGCAGGTACATATAAAAAAATGGCTAGGTTGAACACAGTTACTTGGAATGTTGATACTTCAAATAGTGAAATCAGATATATCAAGCATCAAATGTGTAGAATTCAGTTAGTGAAGATACGCCCGAAGAAGCCATTGTATTGCGAAACACGTGTTGCGTTTTTGTAAGACTATTTTGAGAGAATATCGCAATAAATTGTTTTTTGAATGTCATGGATCCTTATCTAGTACCAATTCGATCATATATCATGAACTGATGAATGAATTATATCGACAGGTGAATATTTTCGTAGCAAGTTTGACGCTCTACAGATATCGTGTGATATTTTGCTAACTTGACTGGTTCTGGGAAGGACTACATTGAAGGGGACAATTTAGAAATTGATTAATGGAATAATATTTTTTTTGATGAAAATTAAAATCCATCTCATGGGAGATTTGAATTGTGAAGTTGACTTTTTCAACTCAAATATCCTTCGCATTTTAAGTATTTTTGCACCACTAAGAAGCGTGATAATTTCCAAAAACAAAGCTCCTTGGTTAACAAAAAATTTAAAACTTTTGATGGGGTTAAGAGGGAGGACTTCAGTAAGATACAGGAAAAATAACTCTGTACATCGGTGGAATTATTATAAGAATTCGAGAAATCTCACGAACAAAACGATAAACCTCGAGAAAAAAGCGTACTGAGAATTCAGTTTACGAAATAAAAAAACAATTATGGAAAGGACTAGCAGACCTTGACATATATAGTAAGAAATTGAACAAGACGTTTCCAGATCACTTGTTTGATGAATAATTCTGCGGTATCAACAATAACAACTTGATTCCTGATGAGGAATGTATTTTTTTTAACCAAAATAAAAAACATGAACACTCATTCAATTTCCATGCCATTAATAATAATGAAGTATATGAAGTGATTTTAAGGATTAAATCTGATGCCGTAGGTACGGACCTACTCAGTATCAAGATGCTACTACATTGTTGCCCTATCATTATTCCTCAGATCACTCATATTTTCAATTATTGTCTAGAACATAATGAATATCGGACTCTCTGGAAATAATCACATATTCTGCCTACAGTACCTATCCCAGATAATTTGAACGATATCCAAGGTTTTTGAAAAAATAACAAGTAAACAAATAAAAAATTATCTAGATGAATTCAATATTCTACCACCTAGTCAATCTGGTTTCCAAGCAAATTTTAGCTGCACAAACTGCATTACTGAAAGTAGTTGATGACATTCAAAGGCCAATAGATGATAATAAACCTTGCCTTCTAGTTGTGCTCGATTACTCAAAGGTGTTTGACCCCATCAACCATGTACTTCTTATATCTCTTTTGAATTACCTTGGATTCGCACCGAGTGCAACTGAGTTGATTGTAAATTACTCACAGAACCGATCACAATGTGTTACCTTCAAAAACTCTACGTCGAATCTCATCAATATCTATGACGGTGTTCCGCAAGGGTCCATTTGGGGCCCACTACTATTTGTATTATATACGTCACCATTTTCAGATTGCCTTCAATATTCTTCTGTCATCTGCTACGCCGATGATACTCAAATCTACATAGAATGCGATGAAGATACTTTTGATATAACACAGAAAAAACTTAATGATGACTCATGTTCTCTGATGAAATTATCAACCAAATATTGCCTAACTGTCAATCCCTCTAAGTCGGCAGTTATGCTCTTTCGAAGAACATTGTCACGTAAACGCAATCTAGACAAGGTTTCTATAACTGCAAACGGAGTTGAGTTACCTCTTAAGGATATTTCTAAAAACTTAGGACTATACATCGAAAGTTCTTTAAGATTCACACGACACGTGGTTACAGCAATCTCAAAATGATATATTCTAATAGAACACTGTTGAACAAAAAATTCAAAATGACCTTGTGTGAATCTTTAGTGTTGTCACATGCTAATTTTGCGGACGTAATATATGGTCCCAATCTCCTTCAAGCTGACAGGAATAGATTACAAAAGCTACAGTATTCATGTGTGAGGTTGATAACTGGAACAAAGTGACGCGATCATATATCACACAATTTGAAAGATATCGGATGACTTAATATGGAGTCGCGACGCATTCTACATTCTACTGTCTTGTTTCATAAGAGAATATAGGAGTTATGCACGAGTAGTCTCTTCATTTGTGTTACATATACAACTTGTTCGTCCCATCTCATATGTTGGTCAATAACAATACCCAAATATTCAATGAATACTGTTTTTTCCATAGTCGGGCATTCACAATTATAACGTTTTGTGAAATTCATTTGGTGCAGTTTGTGGCTCATTAATTCGCGGCTGATCATCTGAGCTGAGTGAAAATGTCATAAATTTTGTTTTGTCCACATTTAAACTTGATAAATCATTATTCAGCCAGAGAAATTGTTTTCTTAGATCAACTTCAGAAGTTTTATAGAATTATTCCTAACATTTACCAGTGAAGATCATGACTGTATCATCGACATAACACGCTATGTGACTGTCAAATTTATTAATATCCGTTATTGCGTCTATGTGAGCAAAAAAAGGGATCGAAACACGTACTGTAGCCTGAGGTATACCAACATTGATATGTAATGTTGTACTGGGCTTGCTACCGATTTTAACTGTTTGTGTTCGTTCTTTCAAATAATTCTGCATTAGTTCCAAAGCATTACTAAATTTTTTCGAGTAGGATTTCATGCAACACTATTGAAAGCCTCTGTCCAAGACCCCTACTGTTTGTTCTACAAAGTCGAGCACGGTATTTTGAGTATTTCATTTGTTTATGAACCCGAATTGTTGTTGTATTATTATATGATGTTCATTAAGGAAATCTTTCATTCGGTTTTCAACAGATTGTTCGAATAGTTCAGCAAAATCATTGATGACAAATTGGTCAGTAATTGCATTTTGACTTTTAGATTTGTAAATTGGAGTTACTCTACTAACTTTCCACTGGGACGGTATATTACTCTTTTTTGTAAAAAAATTCATCAAATAAACTATTGATTTCAATAAATATATATGCATATGTTTCATCACTTTGCTAGTTATACCTTCAGGAACTGGTGCACTATAGTTTTTCAGCTTCGAAATAAGACATATTATTCCATTTTCTCTCACTGGTTCAAAAAACAGGGAGGATGTTAAATAGGTATCATTCAAAAAGTTTTTAGGTGACTCACATTTTTCAATTTTACTCATATATTATGAAAAAAAAATATTGAACAGATTGTAGCTTTTTCTTTATTGCAACTTACAGTTTCACCATTGTCTTTACTGACTGAATTATTTCCATTCTTATCCATGTTCACCTCTGATCATTTTCCAAGTTTTTTTACAGTTTTCATATTCATATATTGTTCGTTTTATCAAGTTATTGAGTTCTTTTCTACAGGGTTTAACTAAATAAGTGTTAAACATTCAAGGAGGTGATTCCTCATTGAAAAAAGATAGGATCTTTCATATAAAGAAA